AGCACCCTGTACCATGTGACCACCTGGAGCCAATCACCAATCTTTATTGCTCCTGCAATGCAAAGTTTTTTTTTAAAAAAATCCCTGATCACCCCCTAGAGAAGTACAATATTAGTATGGTAGCATTGTACTACTCTAATGAAAGTATTGTAAAAGAATTAGTAAAAAAAATTAAAATAATGTTTAAAAAATTAAAATATTGAGAGAAATGTATTTTTACATTGTACCCAAATTCAGCTCTTGTCAGACAATTCACATGGAAACCTATCTTAGTTTCTGAATTTAACCCTCAACATGGGCATTACAAAAAAGAACGAATTGCTGTCATATTGGTCTACAGACCCAATTATATGTTCATGTTCTCTGCTGTTATGTATATGCAAAACAAGGACCAGCAACGTACTGTTACATTACTGTACTTTGAGTGGTTATACCAGGATGATGCCTGCAGCCACAGGCATCATCCTGGTATTGTTTCTTTCAGCTGGCTCTCCACTTTCATTTAAAAACAATCCTAGTGGCTAATTAGCCACTGGATCACTTTTTCAAGCAGCGAGAAGGGACCCCCCCACATTTTGCTGGATATAAAAAGCGTCATTTTAAATTGGAAAAGCATCTTGGTATGATCAGATGCTTTAAGTGCAGAAGAGAGATCTAGAGTCTAATAGACTCCAGATTTCTCAAAAAAGAATACCTGTCACTGCTTTCACAGGGCATATTTACATTCCCTGTGATAACAAAAAAAGTGATTAAAAAAATGAAAAGGACAGTATAAAAATCATAATAAATAATTAAAAATAAATTCACCCCCATCCCCGTGCTCACGCGCAAAGGCAAATGCAAGTGGCAGTCCCATGTTGGTATGTAAACAGAGATTGCACTATGCATATGAGGTATCACCGCGAATGTCAGATCGAAGGGAGAAATTCTAGCACTAGACCTCCTCTGTAAATCTAAAGTGGTGACCTGTAAATGCATTTAATATTTTATATTTTATCAAACAATTGGACAATATATATATACTACCAAAAGAAAGCTCTATTTGTGTGAAAAAAGGATACAAATTTCCTTTGGGTACAGTATTGCATGACCGCACAATTATCAGTTGAAATAGCACAGTGAAAAAAGCAAAACATTTCCTGGTCATTAAGGCGGTTAAATCTTTTGGACGGCAAGTGGTTAAGGATGCAAAAAAGTAATGCTGACGTCATAATGTTAATGTTTGTCTCTACATTGTCAAGGACTGCCCATTGCAGTGAGAAGATGTGGAATACAAAAGTGCCCTGCTCATCAAGTGTTATCTTTGTTTTCCTGGCCATTAGTGGTCAGAAATGCAGCCAATCAGAATCTGTGTCTGACGGGCTACATTGGAAGCCAGAAGAGAGATCTGGGGACTAGCAAACACTAGATCTCTACATAAAGAAGACCTGTCACAGTCCATGCTATCACAGGGGATATTGTTCATCCCTTGTGATAGCATGAAGTTGATAAAAATTTAAAGGGACAGTGTAAATTTTTTTTTTAATAAAACAACATTTAAAAAAATGTAAAGTGCCCTCATCCCCCTGTGCTCACATGCAAATGCGAATGCATATGTAAGTCCCTCACACATATGTAAATGGTGATCGCACCACTCATTTGAGGTATCTTTGTGAACATCAGAGTGAGAGCAATAAGTTTAGCTCTAGATCTCATATGTAAACTGGTCTATGGAGATTATTAGGTAATGTAGTTTGGGGCCATTCCACCTGCATATGCAATTTTAAAGCCTGACACATTAGGTATTTATTTACTCAGCGTAATATCATATTTTATATTTTACCAAAAAATTGGATATTAAACATGTGCATTTCATTTTTATTTATGATTATTTTTTTGTAGGAAAATTTGATTTTCGGAGATTCGGATGTATCAAAATTTCCAAATGAACATAGTAACAAATGTCAACATATCTGAAAAAAGTTAAAATTAAATTAACACATTTGTTTGTTTCATTGTGAATAGCTAGTTGTTAAGGAGGGGGTGGCTGCCACATCCTCAACAACCATGACAACCAGAATGTAATAAAAACAAGTTCTGGCATTAAAAATATTTTTTTAAAAACAGCGTGGGGGACCCTTCCTCAATCCATAATATGCCCATAAGGTCTGGTATGGATTTTGAGGGTAATGCCACACCTAAATATAAAAAAAATGGCATGGGGTCCATCCCAAAAGCTATGGATTTTAAGGGGAACCAAAAATACCAAAATAGAAAAAAAAAAGCTATTTTGAATGAAATTAAACTAATGATGAAAATAGTAAATAAATTCTGAAAAAAGCTGAAATTAACAGATGCATCTGAAATGAAATTCTTCAATTAATTAATTTTAAAATTCGTCAGTTAATGAATGCATCAAAAATGAAATGAAAGTTTGCAGCATGCACATATCTATTGAGTATTATATAGTGCATGTGTCCAATAAAATCTAGTAAAGTGCATTTTTCCAAAATAATTGCATTTGAAAAAACTGTTGAGCAAATATGAGTGATATAAAAAATTGCAACACCATCAATTTTAAGCTCTAAGGCTTTTTGATGTTTAGGGGTTCTAAGTAATTATCTAGCAAAAAAATGTAGATTTTACATGTATGTGAAAAGCGTCAGAATCGGCCCGGTATTAAAGTAGTTAAGATTGTCAGTGTTTCCATCAAAACAGTTTATATTCCAAAGGACAGAGTTGTTAAGTCCATATAGAATTTCTATTCCTAGATGAGGGGTTGCTGTATTTACTTTTATATCCAGTAAAGATAAACCACCACTGCTTATAATGCAGTGAATTTTGTTCATGAAGATACAAAATATGTTAGTGGAAAATGTGAACTTGTAGGTCATCAAGCAGAATAAAACAGTGACAAATTTGGGGAAATTTGTTGCACAGCAGAGACATGGGAACAAAAGGAAAAGACAAAATTAAGAGCTCAGAGGAATCCATTCTAATACAAGCCATATAAAAACAAGAACAAAAAAAACTTCAGAATGGAAAAATAAAAAGATAAAAAGAAAAGACACAGATAAGGAGTACACATGCAAAGAAATGCAAGCAATACTGATAAATTAAACCATGCATTACTCAAATAAATGCAGATGATTCAAAATTAGTTAAGAAAACTAAAAAATATAAAAATTTAAGTAAAAGCAAAAGAGGTTTTTCTGTTTCCAAAATATCAACAGCATACTAATGAGTACTGTTCTAAAAACTAGTTCACAGCCGAATGCAAATGTGTGATTCTTGGGCTGAAATAGCACTGGATCATACAAAAAAGTAGTATATGTACTTTTCAAAAACACACCGCACTGTGGTACCATGTAATTTGGTGCATACAAATGCACTGCATTTGTAATGTATGATTGGGGTATCGTTAGGAATATATTGACAACTACAGCAGATCACACATCGGGTGCATTCTGAATATGGTGCAGGAAATGCACATGGATTGTGGATTTCCTGCACTTTTTCTGGCGTGAACGAGTTCTAATAACATTTCTAAATTTAAATAAATGATAGTTAGAAAGTAGAAATAATGTACACGAATGCTATAGCATGTCAATTGTCTATATCAATACCAAAAAACAAAAGGAATGTAAAAAATTATTTAGAAGGACTACAATTAGTACAGCAATTTGCAACCAAATAATAAGCAATGCAAAGGGATTGAGTTTCTAAAGGAGTGCAGGCTGTACACATAATAAAGGGAATTTTCACTTTGCAAAATCATTTTCACCTAGCTACGTGAATGAGGTGTTGACTTTCATTATCCATTTAGGTGCAAGCAAAAATTCTGTTGTTTTTTATTATTTTTCTTTTTAGATTTTCCTTGCACATATTTGAGTATTCATTGCAAAGAATCTTTCCACCACATTCACTAAGCTGATTTAAAGTTATCTTGCAAAGTGAACATGCTATACTCATTTAGAAACTGTAATGCTAAAAAGAATACTTCTATGACTAATGAAACTCATGGGAATAAAGACCATAATTTAGGAAAAATAAAAACATGTTAGGATTAGTTACATGTGTAGAGCATTTCCACCAACTTTAGCACAGAAAGCTGCAGTCACTTCAATGATCCGATCATATGCAAGAAAAAATAATTTTTTTTCCTCATTATCATTGCAGATGAGTAGTTATTCAAAGTGCATTACGAAGTAAACATTTACTCTCTTTGTAAATCAAAGATGCTGGAAAAGTCAACCTCAACAAATCCTGCTTTTCTAACTGTATACATTTATTATAGCAAAACAACTTATTCTCAACATAAAGATATCATTTAATTAATAAATCTAAGAGTATGGCATCTACTTCTAATCAAACTAACAGAAAGTTCAAAACATCCACTTTCATTTTGAAATGACTGACAACTAAAAATGTCCACTGCTGTCAGTTCCAGCATTCCAGAAATTTTTAACAAAGAGGAATATAAATGAAGAAAAATTATAGCATATCAGGGTGTTATGAAGTGAGAAAAAGTAGGACACCAAATAACTAGAGTGCCCAACCCTCTAGAGATGCCAACTGTATGTTACTAAGTGACGCAGTGCAAATAATACAAATAATAATAGATGTGAAAAAATATGACATAACTTCAGGTCCCAACCTTGAACGTGTGACGTCATATCCGGTGAGTGGAGCACACACTGATGCAGCGTTCCACGGCCATCTTTAGTGTGGGCAAAACTATTTGAATTCTACACTTTTGCCAGTTCTTCACTGCCAATGCTGATCAACTGTGTCTGCCTAGCTGGAAATGTCAGAAGGGCGATAAGAACATGTTTAAGTACTAGCCTACAGGGCACTTATACCCCCTTCCTGCCCAGGTCAATTTCCAGCTTTCAGCGCTGTTGCACTTTGAATGACAATTGCGCGGTCATGCAACACTGTACCCATATGAAATTTTTTATAATTTGTTTTTGTGACAGACAGAGCTTTATTTTGGTGGTATTTAATCACCTCTGGGTTTTTTATTTTTTCTTAAACAAACCAAAAACGACAGAAAATTTTGAAAAAAAAAAGTTTTTTCTTAGTTTTTGTTATAAAATTTTGTAAATAAGTGATTTTTCTCCTTTACTGATGTGTGCTAATGAGGCTGCACTGATGGGCACTGATAGGTAGCACTGATGGGCACTGATGAGGAGGCACTGGTAAGTGGCACTGATGGGCATTGACAGGCATCACTGGTGGGCACTGAAAGGCAGCACTCATATATGGCACTGATAGGCGGCACTGATAGGTGGCACTGATAGGCGGCACTGACTAGCACTGATAGGCGGCACTGACTGGCACTGTTAGGTGGCACTGACTGGCACTTTTAGGTGGCACTGATAGGCAGCACTGATGGGCACTGATAGGCGGCACTGATGCACACTGATAGGCGGCACTGACTTGCACTGATAGACAGCACTGACTGGCACTGACAGGTGGCACTGATTGGCAGCACTGATAGGTGGCACTGACTGGCATTGATAGGTGGCACTGACTGGCACTGATGGGTGACACTGAGAGGCAGCTCAGATGGGCATTGATATGTGGCATTGATGTGGCACTGATGGGCACTGAAATGTGGCACTTATGGGCACTGGCAGCTGGCATGGATGAGCACTGAGTGCTGGCACTGATGGACACTGACAGGTGGCGCTGCTGGGGCTACACAGATCATCAGGGCACACTAATCATCAGTGCCCTGATGATCATTGTACATGTCCCCTCCGAGGAATGCTGATTACCGGCTCTCCTCTCCTCTGTCAGCGTGACAGCTTGTGGGGAGAGAAATGCCGATAACCGGCATTTCCCTGTTTACATGTGATCAGCTGTGATTAGACACAGCTGATCACATGACCGAGCCGACATCTTCGGCTCTTTCCGTGGATCGGTGATCCGTTGTGTCCGAGGGACACAGCGCACCACCAATCGCCGTGCTGCGTGCTCCCGGAGCTGCGTATGACCGGTTATAATGGGAGGACGTCATATGACGTCCTCCTAGAACGAGAGAACTGCCTTGCATCTGTCATTTTACTATATGGCGGGCGGGAGGCAGTTAAAGGAGTCCTGATCTATTTAAAAATAAGGCTTAATACACAGTTTTAGAATGTGAGTGCATTTGGAGCATCACTTGATTATTAAATGTTTTTGTACAGTGTTACGCTATTTTGGTATCCTTTATTTTGCATTTTTTCATCCATCCATCCATGAGAGAGAGTTCGGGGGAAATCAAGGAGGAATTATTAGCGGCAGCTTGGGAGTTTCTATCCATACAAGCTGGTCACAAATCCATCGAATCACCCTTATCCGTCCATCCATGAGTGAGAGCTTGGAGGAAGTTAAGGAGGGATCATCATCGGTGGTTTGGGAGGCATGTGAATTCATGGAAGTTGGTTTTTAAGCCATCTTATGTGAGTGTAAGGAAGATTTTTCTTAAAATTTTCTTTTGACTCATACAGTATTATACTATTGGCATTTTGTTCTTTTCTTTAATATTTTATATTGCCCTATGTGGAAACATCTGGGAAGGAAAGTCAGTAAGAAATCGTTTAAGGGAGAAACAACATCTGAGGATACCAGACTCCACCTCCAGGCCTGTTTTTTGTCTCTTAAAGCAATATCAGCTCGAGAATTCACAGTATTTGGTGAGTGTGGAATAAATGATTTTTCACTGATTATGTGAGCACGCTGGAAAATTTATTAAGTTTGTGCTAGAGTTATATTTTTTGGCACAACTTTTTGGGACTTTTGCTTGTTCGACTTTTATATATTTCTTCACATCTTTTATATTTGCGCTGTGTCACTTTATGAGTATATTTTGATGTTCAGTCATTTTTTGAACAGCAGCATTAATTAATTTGATTTATCGTTTATTTCTTTGGCGCAAGGATTCTATTTATTGTATGTCACTAAGAACTACTCAGAGATCCACTGAAATATTTAAAAAAGCAATAATCATCATTATTACTTTGATCATAATGAAAAAAGAACATTTCCTGGTAAGTTTTCTGTAAGATATACAGTATAACTTAACATTTTCGTCTGGATAAAAAATGTTTTTCTTGATCCATTTATTTATTATTATTATTATACAGGATTTATATAGCGCCAACAGTTTGCTCAGCGCTTTACAATATAATGGGAGACAATACAGCAACAATACAGTTCACTACAAGAGGAAAATTTACTGGTATTAGTATTAGTTATTAGTTAGTGTTTTGGGCAATCAGCTTTTTATTGTACATACAGTATGTTGTAATCCTTTTGTTATCAAATTAGTACTCTTTGTAACAATACATTTTGTCTAAAGATTTTTTTATAGCTTTATTAAACAGAACTAAAAAAAACACAGCACATTTTAGAGGGGACAGCAAAATAAGAGTTTTTACTTATAATTAATCTCCACATGGTTATATTTTGGGATGATGGTCATCTGCCCTATATTGTTTAAAGAGTCTGGAATTACCTTTATTTTTATATGTTATCTTGTGAAAAGTATAAAGGCAGATTTACTTAATTAACTGCATCCAGAGTTATAGGGGTGGTGGCCCTGGGTTGTTACACTTCAAGAGAGAATACATTTCTTTGCATAAAAACATAATGAATGAATTCCTTGGAGTGATGAAACAGTGGTAAGCTTTTTGTGCTCCCCAATAGACAATGCACTGGATCGAGAATATTGGGGAAGATGATTGAGTTTACAATAAAATTAAAAACCTTTTTACAGAAAGCCTGAATATATTGGCGCTGCCACACCATGAGGAAGATGTGATTAATGACTTAACGAAAGGCAACATACACATACATTGCCCAACCTTGAGGGGTATACCAGAATGATGCCAGCTATCATCCCAATATCTTTTTTTTATGACCAGTGTAACACTTTCTTGTAAAAGCAATTCTAGTGCCTAAATAGCCACTGGATTGTTTTCACAAGTGGTGGGAGGGGTTCCTCCTCCCACTGCCTTTCAGGACTGTCCCGTCCCACTGGGGAATCTAGGATTGCAGCCAGTGGTTCTGCTGGATGACCATAGAGCTGATCGGGGACCAGAGTGGTCCGGATCATCCCTATGGTCTCAGAAACCAGAAGTAACGAGTACTTTGTCACTTCCAGTTTCACCGATTGTAAACAAACTCTTACTGGTTTGAAAAAAAGCAATGAATCTTACCAAGATTGGTAGCTTTTAAGGGCAGAGGAGACATCTGGGGTGTAATAGACCCCAGATGTCTCAGTAAAGAGGAACTGTCACTATTGCTATCATAGGAGATGTTTACATTACTTGTGATAACAATAAAAGTGATTTAAAATTTTTTTTAAAGGTACAGTATACAAATAAATAAATGAATAAATATGCGCGCGCGTCAATCCCACATCAGTATGTAAACAGAGATCACCCCCACATATAGAATATAATAAGGTGTCACCGCAAACATCAGATCGAGAGCAATAATAGTAGCACCAAACCTTCTGTGTAGATCTGTGTAAATCTAAAGTGGTAACCTGTAAAGGCTTTTAAAGAGTTCCCTATGGATAATATATTTTACGTAGCTTGCGGCCATTCCACTGGAGTGCACAATTTTACAGTGTGACATGTTTCATTTTTATTTACTCAGTGTAACACCAGATTTTATATTTTAAAAACAATTGGGTGTTATATTGTGTTTTTTGTGCATTAAAATTAATTGAAGTGTATTTAAAAAAATGCATTTGAAAAACTGCTGTGCAAATACCATGTGACATAAAAAATTGCAACATCCACCATATTATTCTCCAGCACCTCTGCATTAAAAAAATATATAATGTTTGGGGGTTCTAAGTAATTTTCTAGCAAAAAAATACATATTTTTACTTGTAAACAGAAAGTGTAAGAAAAAGGCTTGGTCTTCAAGTGGTTATATTTGACACTCTTTAAAGTTTTACAGGACTTGATTTCCATAGCATTGCATCTGACAGGTGTATACTAGATTTGGGGGAAACTTTGTCACCTTGTCTTTAGATGAGATGGCCATATGTATGCAGGTTTTATCAGATTCCTGCCAGCTATTTTGAGCAAGGGTAGAGAGCATCCTGACACATTTGCCCTGTGCTCTATGGTATTTACCTTTTTTTAAAAAAGTAAAAATCCAGCATAATATCTAAAATACAGGTTTAATAGACTATCATAAAATCACATAGAAGAAAAACCACACGCATACATATGTTTTTTAACCCAGATACTGAGCAGTTTAAGCAGATTAGTTAGAGTTTTTTGTTGGCTAGCTTGAAAGTGTATAGTCAGGATCAGAACAGTAAACAGGAGTCTGTAGCACAGTTCTACAAACTTAAAGTCTGCTTTATTTGCCAGCAAACACAAAAACAGGCTTTTCCTTCTGAATCAATGCAAACAAAACAGATTATTTTAAACACATGATGTAGGCTTTGCTTCAGCACAGTTTTAAATTCTAGCACACATGGCTCACCAGCCAGAAGTGAGAATTCAAGACAAACTGGTCTTTCGGGCAGCCCAGTGTGGCAGCATTTTCTCTTACAAACAGCAATCTCCTCCTCAAAAACAACACTTTGAGCTCAGCTGTTTATTAGGGAGGGCTGTAGGCAAAGCATCTGCCCTCCTAAATGAACCCCCTCTTATCCCTGCCCTAAGCTGACTCCTTATATTACCCCCCCCACACGCACACACACACACATATACCCACCCTCCAATCCAGACCAACCCTGGTCTGGACACTTCTGACAAAATGGCATTATAGATGGGAACGGGTGTCCACAAACTGATGTACTCTCCCGGGTCTATGCATTACTGTAAAGTTAAAATCCTGGAAAGCAAGCAGCTACCTGGTAATCCTGGAGCTGCTTTCATTATTCTGTGCCATCCGCTTAAGACAAACATGGTCCCACTCCATCCTAAAGGGTCACCCTATATTGTACTGGAGTGACTCTAAGGCCCATTTTGGCGACACACTGCCTTTCCACAATTGAACAGTTTTTTTTGACCCAGTGTGAGCTGCCAGTCCTAGTTTTGAAACATCCATTTGAACCAGGAACACTTTTTAATGTCCAGGGCTACAAGGACTGGTTCCTGGCACAAAGCCTTCTTCTGCCCAAGGACCAGAGTGGATGAGAGCTGAGGTTTTTTTCCTTTGTGAGATCTGTCAAAGGTGTAGACAAATCTATATTATGTCACAATACTGCAGGTTTGAGAACATTTCTAGATTTTTCTGCAAGAATTCCCACATCACCTGTTTTTGAGAAGGCTATAGAGTCTCTGTTATCCCTACATTTTTAATCTGGGTATTGGGATCTTCCTGATCTTTCAAGGTAACATTATAAATTTGGTAAAATCTTTGTGGGCTGGTAGATCTTATAGTTGAGCACTCCTACCATTTGACTCTCACAAAGAGTATCGCCATTTTGCTAGGAATTTGCTTTTAACAGATAACACCAATACAAGTACCCGCTCACAAACTTAAACCTCTTTGACCTAGTGGATCAGTTGTACAATCAACTCTGCGCCTTTTGTGCAGACTTCAAATGATCATGACTATGGGCATCATGTGTTCCACTATGCTTCCATAGATCCTAGCCTCTTGTTCCCACAACTCTTGCTAACCACATCCAGCATCCTATGCGTGTCTTCCATAAACCAATGCAAAGGGTGAGAACCCTGGTGATGATTGGGGTACCTCCCATATGGTAAACAATAAATGAGGCAGTAAACAACCCCAATCATGAAAATCATGAACATCTTTTTCAACCACTTTTTTGAGCATCCCCAATTTTTTTAACTCGACCCACTAAAACATCTGTTTGTGGATGACACAGGGAAGTCTACAAATGTTTAACTTTAAACAATTTGCATAATTTTTGCGATATCATAAAGTGCCTTGATTGATCAGGATCTTGGACAGGAGTCCTATTCTCATGTGAAACATCTGCCTTGTCATAACTTTGGGTGAGGAATTTCTTAAAATTACCACCTGGATATCTCATGACATAGCTAACAAGTACTAAAATATATTGGTGAGCCCTAGCTTATATGACTAAGGGGCCCACCAAGTCTATGGCTATGAGATCAAAAGTTACTTGAATAATCGGAAGCTGTATTGTTTAATGTACAATGGGGCATTGGGCAATTATTTGACAGGTTGAGCAAGACTGACTAAATTCCATGATTTTTTTGTATCCCCCATGCCAATAAAACTGTTGAAAAAAAATATAGCTGTCCCAAACAGACTCCTAAGAACACAAAGATGATTCAAATGTGACACTTTGTATCTAATAGGCTGAGGTATCACCAGTTGTTCAATACTTTTGTCATTCTCTTTGGTTACTCTGCACAACATATTATGATTCATAGCAAAATTGAGAAACTGCTTATCTGCCCAGGTACCTGTGGCTCACCATTTAGCACAGTGACCTGATCACTGGTGGGGATCAGAGTGGGGTCCCTCATCTGAGTGCTAAGAAAATTTTCCCAAGAGACTTCCAACTCCAACAGGTCTGGCTTAGAGGAGAGGATCTCTGGTTCTAACCCTGCAAATAGCATCAGGGGACCCAGGCCAGTCTCTGCAGATTCACGCTTCTCCTGACACATATCAATATTGTTTTTAAGCAGAAGTGTGATTAGCTTTATCAAAGGGTTCTCTATATTCAGGAGGCTTCTGGACCTTTCGACTTTTGTTCAAATAAGTTCCAGAATATGGGTCAGTGTTGCCCAGTCAATGGATCACTTTGCAACCATCATCGCCCTAACCTTTAGTGAAGCATTTCATTGGGATTGAGAGTGTCACATGGGTCATGATATAGTCTTTCACATTGCTGTGCACACAGATTACATTTGTTCTCTAGTTATCAGCCTTCCCTGCAACTTGTTAGAATGCGGTAGAGTAATGACATTTCCAGGGTCAAGAAGTGTGCAAAACTCCTGTCCATTAACCTGCACTACACATTCATGGAGATATACAATTTTAGCAGTACAGGCTGCATAAGCATACATACAACAACACAGGCTCATGCCAGATTCCATTGGCTTGTCCTGCTTTGGACACTGGTTCACCAGAATACCCTGCTTGCTGGCAGGTCTAGCAACAAACCTTGTGGGGTTCTCTAGCAACCTGCCAGTTCTCAGGAAAGTTAGATGGTGTGATGATTTGGCGGGAGTATTGCCCCCAGGAGAATACACTGTGTCATCCATTGACACCTTGTGGCGCCTTGCTCCAGAGCAGATCTCTTTTAACCCTCTGCACAGTTGGGGTATGGCGTTCACTCTGGTTCACTCAAAAGTACAGTTCCTTTGGAATACAGCAAATAAAATGGTCCAGGGCAACCTGGGAGTTGCAGGCAGTCTTGGAGCAGGTTATACAGTTGTGTGTTGGTAGGTTACTTTGTAAAAGTGTCTGACACAGGAAAAGCTCACTCTCATTTTAAGAGTCGCTCTCAGCCTTGCCATTATTTCAGCCTTCAACAACTTGTAGTCATGTGCTGATTCTGGGACCAAGTCAAAGTATGCCTGCTGGGAATCTGTAATCAGAAAAGGCCAGTTTGTCTCAAGCAGCCCTTATGTAATGGCAATCTAGCCTGTCATCTTTTTTTGGAATCCACTGCACAGTTTTACATGGGTCAATCTATAGCAGGCCTGTACTTGCTCAGGAAGGGCCTGTGCTTGCATATTGGTCAGTGCCAGATGCCTAATTAGCTCTTTCATTGCCTTTTCTGTGGGTTTTAAGGACTACGTGGATTTAACCCTCAATATAGGACTATCCCAGTCTGCTCAAACTTTCAGAATTCTCCACAATTTGTAGGAATCGGAGGGAAAAACAGGTTTCCATAACACAGTTCTACAAGCTTAAGTGTCAGAAGAGTCCAACACAAGCAGTTCTTTCAGGCATCACAGTGTGGCAGATTCTTCTCTGGAGTTCAGGTTTACAGCTCTCTCTTCTTCACACTCAATACTGTCTCTCTTGGTTAGGCTGTTTAATAGGGAGGACTATAGGGGAAATATTTTCCCTCCCAAATTACCCCCTTCTAGCACTGTCTCAAGCCTATTCTCCACAATTATATATGTATATATATATATATATATATATATATATATATATACACACTGCTGCTTGGCTACCATGCATAGCTGTGCCAGATTCTGAGTGCACCACGTTTACTAAATCTACCCCATTGAGTCTAATTACCTCATATCAATATATTGAGGTTACTACCGCTTAACACAGTCTTTCTCTTCAGTTAAATATATTACTTTCAGGTAGTTTCTAAAATGAATTATCACTTTTATCACAGTACTGTAGATTTGTAGGCATTTGTGTGTGCTTTAAGTGATTATAAAGGCTTTTTTTTTAATAACAAGCATGTCTCTATTTACCTGTGTCCAGTGGTTTTGCACAGAACAGCCCTTATCCTTCTCTTCTCAGGTCCCCTGCTGGTGCTCCTGGCCCCTCCCTCCTGTCACATGCCCCCACAGCCAGCAGCTTGCTTTGGGGGCAGCCTCTGCTCCTTGTGTCCATTCACACATGGGGCTGCAGCTCAGCCCCGCCCCCTCTCTCTTTCTCATTGGCTCACTGGCTGTGATTGACAGCAGTAGGAGCCAATGGCTCCCATTCTGTCTTAGCCAATGAGAAGAGGGAGTCCCGGCATAGCCGACACTTCAGTGTACATTGCTGGATCGAGAGGGGCTTAGGTGAGTATTAGAGGGAGCTGGGGGGGATGCTGCATAAAGAAGGTTTTTTCTATGCATGAAGGTAAAAAACCTTGAGCCTTTAGAACCACTTTAAGTGTATCTGTACTTCCCCGTGGTTACCTCTGGTTTCCAATGAGAACGCCAATTGGCCAGCTGCATTCTTGATATGTAAATTCATGGCAGTGGTAAGAAATCTTAGAAAGTTGTGGGGAAAAAAAGACAACATCAAACCTTGAACAGATCATTAAACACAATTGGTAAGCTATCAAAAGCAGTGTTAAAGTGAATGAACTAAATTAATAAAACAAAATACTCTCTAGGGGATCCAGGTGGATCCAGGTGGAACATCCAGCCATCCAGCAGCAAACTCTGTCTATAGGATCAGGAAGTAGAGTCCAGGATGTGCCTCTGCATCAAAATGAAGTTTGGAGAGCGTCAAATGTAGGAGATGAAGGGGGCGGTAATGCATTTTGGAGTATGCCCAATAGGCTCCTTCTTCAGACCTGCAGGTCTGAAGAAGGAGCCTATTGAGCATGCTCCAAAATGCATTAGCGCCCCCCTTCACCTCCTGCAGCTTACTCTGCTCTCCAAGCTTCATTTTGATGCACAGGCACATCTTGAACTCTACTTCCTGATCCTATAGACAGAGTTTGCTGCTGGATGGCTGGATGTTCCACCTGGATCTTATTACATCACACGATGAGTCTTTTTAACTATTTATCTTGAAAGTGCAATTTATCTATTGTTTACTAACTAAATTGTCAATACACTGCACTTAGAGCCGCCTTCCTCTCTTTTTCTTGTTACTGCATTAGAGCCTTTCTTCCACTCTAAGAAGAGCTGCCTCAGTGTTACTGCTCCCATCCATCCATCCGTCCCTGATATCCATCTGGCACCTTTATCCTACAGCTACAGAGGTTGGGCTCCAACAAGCGCTCCCTATATAATATACATTTTCTATTTTTACATTATGCTCACTTGAAACATAATGTAGAATAGCAGTGCTAAAAGCAGTGTGGTGCAGGGTAGCAGCTACACGTTCTGCAAGTAAAGACTGGGATGGGTCTACTGAAACATGGCAAGGTTAGGCTACACTGTACAGCAACCAAGCACCAACAAACCTTTTTTATATACAACTGGCCTTCTTGGTCTTCCCTAGAGTATTTGTCTTTGGAAGAGGCACTTATGTCATCTTAAAGCACTACTGAGATTCTAATATGTGTCATCTTGTGAGAGCTGAACTTTTTTATACAATGGATTTTGTCCAAGAGCATGACAAAAGAGTACTTATTCTAGCATGAAAGCTTATGTTATACTTTAGGCATTTGTAGGTTGTAAGCTTTAGAATGAAGATTTATATTCTAGCATTTTGTATACTCCTGTATGTTGTAATTAACATCTTTTAAATGTGTTGTGTATTTTAGTTTATTTTACAGGATCCTTGTTATCACAGTAACCATATGAGAATTGAAATGATTAGGCTGATTATAATACATATTCTAGCTAGTCCTTTAAAAACTGAAATTCATTAAAAAAGACCCTGAAGGTGAAACATCACATACAGGCATAATTTGTGATGCAAATTATTTGATCATTTTGCACTGGAGCTTTGGCACACACACTTTTGCACAATTTCTGCTGGGAAAAGAGAAAATAACCTATACTAATATAGAAAAAAACAATAAATTATACAACTTTTCATTTAATTAGAAATAAATTCAGTAATGTCAAATATGAAGACATTTTAAAATAATATACTAAATATAGATCCACTTATTAAAAAAAATAAGAAAACAAAAACATTTTTTGTGACTCAACAGTATATTTAAATAGCATAATTAAACAGTATTACCTGGAACTCAGGATGTTCCTGAGAAAAAAACTGTTATTGAGAAAATTAATTAAATGAGTTGCCTTTGTGGGCAAAAAACATACAGTAAACAATCTATTTCTAAATTTTTCACACAGCATTCACACAAATTCCACCCATGATGCACACACAATTTTTACAATTGAATTCTCTTGAAAAAATGCATGAATTCTTAGCATAAGTCATGTGACTCATAAGTGAGCAACACTCTAAATCAGTGGTCTCCAAACTGTGGCCCAGGGGCCAGATGGGAGCCTTTGTTTGCTTGTACCTGGCCCTTGAGGCACTATTTAATTTACTGATACCAATAATGGGGCATAATTTCCCCCCACTGACAACAATGAAGAGGCACAATTCCTCCAAATGACACCAACAATGGAGCCCAATGACATCAATGATGGAGCACAATTCCTCCCACTGACACCAATGATAGAGCACAATTCCTCCCACTGACACCAATGATGGGGCATTGTTTTTTTCCCACTGACATCGGGACCTTTTCTATTCCCAATGGCCACAGTCCAGCCCTCTCAAGGTCTGAAGGACAGTAAACTGGCTCTTTGTTTAAAAAGGTTGGAGACTCCTGCTCTAAATCATCCCTTTTAACATAAAGGAACCCTTACAATAACTTTCCAGGCTCAGGGAACCCCTATTAATATTCACTATATCAAAAGTTCACAGTACACTAGTGTGATGGTCACATAAAAGAATGCTCCATTCATTGGGAAGACTATCCCCCTTACAGATAGCTAAAAAAACATTATATCATAAAATGCAGCGCTATGGGTAGATGAGGAACTGATACATATATCAATACAGTGAATAGAGGAATTAGTCCATGTAGCAGTTAGTAATATAAATATAAATATAAAGTGACTTCAAGTGCTCTCCTTTAATTCGTATTCAGGCGTTGTGCGGAATGGTGCAGAAAAAATGCACACTCACCAGAACGCACAGATAAATGAGCGTTTGTTAAGCATATGTTCCCCTCTGGGTCTTTAGGAAAAGGTCTGTGATGCGATAACCTCCCTCTAGGGTTCCTGGGTGCTCCTGTCTGCTCCCTCACAAGGTGGATTGCGGACTTCTCCTTACAGCACGCCCCTTGTCCACTGAATGGGTGAGTAGCTGAAAATTGATGCTCCCCAGGGGAGTCAAGACAAGGACATACCCATAGTGTAGTAGGTGGTAAAAGAATTTATTCGTATGACAAACTACTCGATAGTATACAGCGGTATGTGAAAGCAAATTGTGGACTAACCGTCCAGGTTGAAAGATGGCCGCCGGAGCTCCACGATGCTCCGACGGCGTGACGTCACGGCGTTCTTGGCTCCTCTTGGCTCCTCCCTTTCTGCACCATTCCGCACAACGCCTGAATACGAATTAAAGGAGAGCACTTGAAGTCACTTTATATTTATATTTATATTACTAACTGCTACATGGACTAATTCCTCTATTCACTGTATTGATATATGTATCAGTTCCTCATCTACCCATAGCGCTGCATTTTATGATATATTGGTTCTTTAGGGTGTTTGGTTACCTTATGTTCAGCTGCTATTTATTCTTTATAGGTGCGCTCGTTTATATTTCTTTTTACTAGCTAAAAAAACATTGTTTATGTGGTTATTCATCTGAGAGGCAGAGGTTGTGCACTGCTCAAGGAACCCCTAGGAATCTCTGGAGGAATTGTAGGGTTCCAAGGAACCCAGGATGAGAAAATGATGAAGGAATGTATTACATAAGCCATTGGCAAGTTATCAGATTGATTAAAACAAATGAAATGGGAGACCTAATCACAGATTTTTCACTGGGATAACTGAAAAAAACAATAAAGCAGAGCCCATATACTTAGAACATAATTGGTTGAAAAACTAAAACCAAAAGTAACGTTGACTGTCTTGTGTAGGAGTCAAGTAGGAGCTAAATCTAATGGACAGCAAGTAGAAGATTTTGTTTGCTACATACCCAAAATTTTCAGAATTTGTTTTTGGCAACCTAGGTGGTCATAGATGGGTTTCTTATACAGCAGCATTTTAATAATCTCTACCATCTATTGTTGGAAGGACCAACAATATGTTCAACATGTTCAAAGAGGCACCAGAAATGTTTAGTCTTGCAAGTGTTGTCAGATGAAGGAAAACTTCTACAAGCCCGTAGCTCTGGTGAGGCAGATCCCACACAGCAAGGCTTCCTTCAAGGGGCTCTTAAGTAGCTCTAACCATAGAAATAAAGTAGACTCCTCCACTGCAGCTAAGCAACTGCTGTCAAATGGAAAAGACAAATGGAAGAAGTGGAACATTTAAAAATGAGACAAATAGGAAAGAGCAATGATTTAAGTCCTTTCAACAGTTACAATCTGATTTTGACTAGACTCTTCTCTATCAATACTTAAAGTGGGAGATAAAGTTAATACTAACTGTTCTTAAACATGTTCCCTTCCTCCTTCTTCTAAATATCTTGCATACCTTGTATAAAAAAGATCTGTGTACTTACATATTTTTATTCTGCACCTGTCTGGTTACATGATCCCACAGCTCCAGCTTCCCTGTGTCAGTGAGCAACTGGTGAAGGGGAGAGGAGATAATGCTTATGGCCTATGGGTGACATCATGGATTTGGGAATTCCCAGTCATTGCTGAGTCTTACATAGGGAGCCTGAGCTGCAGGATCAGACCAGAAAAAAATAGGCAAGTACACATCTTTTTTAAACAGGGTTTGCAGGATATTTAGCAGAAGTAGGGAGGGAGCTTTTTCTATTACCACTAAAAATCTCTGACATGTAATCAATGCATAAAATACCACACTTACTGTGTCTGTTGCTGTAACTCCTCTGTTAAAAACCCTTGTATAGGCAGACAACTCCAAAGACCTCATTTGAGGAGAACAGTTTCTCTCTAAATTTCTGCTTACATTTTCATTTTCTTTGTAAAAAAAAAAGTAGATCTTGATACCCTCATCTGGGATGAAATAGTGCAGTACTTGTATACTTGTCCCCTGCTCGCAGACCAATGTAATATTTTATATTACACACAGTATATCTTTCTTACACAAAATAGGTCTACCTGCTAACCCTTGTTGTAATAGATGCAGCCAATTTCAAAGGGAATTTGATTGGTTTTCTTGGGTGATTTCTCAAATTATGAAGATACTGGGACAGGATTGTTACAACCTAACAACATCTTGGATACAAGCTTGTGCACTGACTCTCTTATCTATATCCTGAGGTAATATGATTCCTCCACTCAAGAAGTGTTTACATTGGTAGCAGTCTCCAGGTTGTTATTCATTGCTCATAGAATGTTAACTAAAAAATGGGTCTTTGTAATCCCAATTTACATAAGGGATGACCAATGTCATTACATGGGTTCATATAGATTTGTATCATGCCCTTATTGTAAATATATTTTGGATGGGAAATGTGAAAATCTACCCAATGGTAAATTACGTAAAGGCAAAACACTTTGTAAATTCTAAAATATTTGGGGTAATTTATATTCTGATATGTAAGTATAGCTCCTGTTATATAGGAAAAATTTAAACACAATTATATACAACTATACAGCACATGCACCATACAAAATGGTTATCTATCATCCCAGAGGTAGCATTGGAGCCATACATCATAATTAAAGCCCATTGTGTTTGAAATTCTTTGGCTTAGATGAAATCCATGCAGAACCAAGAGAGGGTGATTGTGACCACCAATTACTACAAAAAGATATGAGATGGATAAATCAGTTTTGGGCAACAATTCTCCCCAGGCTGAATAAATCTACAAGGTAAACTTTTCTTATAACCATTTTTGGAAATTCTAAATTCTAGAGACATAA